GAATTGTCAGATTTTAGGAACCCTATCAATGCTGTGTCATCTGCATATTTGACATAGGTGTTAGTTGAAGCAGATACTTGACAATCATTGGTTTAGATATGGGACAAAACGCACCCTTTGGGGGAACATGTGTTAATGATTTTGGGGTGTGACATGGCAGAAATTAATCTAACTTGCTGAGTGTGGTCAGTTAAGAAGTTATTAATCCACAAAGTAAGCTTGGGATTCACCAATTTGTCCACCATAAGGTGGAGTTGGGTCGTATAGAAGGCACAGCTAAAATCAGCAAACACAGTTTTGATCAGGCTCTGAGCCTGTTCAAGGTGTTCATAGATGTTATTAATCATAGTCAGCAGTGTGTCGTGCACACCTGTATTTGCACGATAGGCAAATTTGTTATGATCCAGAAGAGGCGAAACCTCAGAGAGGAGTTGTTTTAACACAATCTATTCAAAACATTTAATCACTACAGAGAACTGGGCGCATGTCATTAAGTTCCATGGGTTTGTTCATTTTAGGCATAGACATTTTTCACAGGTTAGGGACTACCGCAGTGTCAAAACAGCCTCTGGAAAGGCTGCACCAGCTTATCCTACACCTATGCCACAAGGGTTTACACTTTTACACATTAAAATATGATATAACATCCTTAATGAAATTACAGTATCCACATATCTCTCTTGCTTTCATAATGACATTTGCCTGTTCCAATTGTATGGGGGTAGTTATGTTTCAATATTATTTGTGTGAACAGATAAGCGATCCGTGTGTAAATGTGTAATCTGTAAATATAAAACACACAAAATGGAGATTTGTAAACTCACAAAAATATTTTGCAAATAGAAAACAAATTTCACAAATAATAAAAATATCTGTGAATATTTAATAGTTTACAAGTAAATGAACCACATTTGTGAATATCTTCCTAACATTTACAACTTTCAAACAGGCATTTGTGAGTCCAGTTTTAATTTACAAATTGTAGAAAAGTATTTGTCACTTTCAAACAGGCATTTGTCAAACTCAGAGTTTTGAAACAAACTTTCCGCCAATGGAAAGAAAATCGACTCGTGTCATTCGGCTGTTTTTCGGAGACCACGTGATAATGCCTGCTGACGCCTGCTGATGACGTCATTTCCACATTTCAAAGTAAAACGGCCTCTGAACTGCCTGAATGTGCGAGCCTGTTGCTATCGCGAAGGAAATATCAGCTGCTGTTTCAACAAAATGTGAATGCAGACTGAAATTCTACCATGTTGTTGTATCGGGAAAGGCAGCAATTCAAACCAGCGGTGATTAAGAAATAGTATAATTATATAATATAACAATGAATTAAGCTATGAGCACAGGGAAAGTCCGCTAGCCGCTAGGCTAATTTCAGCAGTTTGAAAATGCCACCGGCTGTAGGCTAGCTAATGATGGTGTTTAGCAAAAATTAGTCATTTTAAGCAATTGAGGAGACATTTCTATTTAATGTGCAAATTAAATGCTTAGTAATTATCCAGAAATCACAGGGAAAAAAAGATGGATCGCTGCCCTCTGAACTGTAATCAAATCGAATCTTAAGGTGCCAAGAGACTCCCTCCCTAACTGCCCCTGTCTCCAATTGTCCACTGCATCTGTTAGGGCCTGTCCATATGGTCGCCACTCTTTCACCATGATGTAATTAAGTTGTTTTTGTGCTAAACTGCAAAGTGTTCAAAACTCAGATTGTTCATAAAGTGAAGAAACATAAATAAAAGTTGTTTTCCTGTTATAAGTTCTTATAATTAGTTCATGTGGTATTATGCCCACCTGTAATATTATACAGGGATGGACATTTTAACACTTTACTTAAACCTATCAAAGCTATTATTCCATTTTATATCACTAATTCTAAATTGTGACTAAAGTGTATTTATTTAGAGGCAGAGTGGATGGTTATATAGAACATGGTCGGAGATTCTTTGCACACAGTGGTATAAACTCGTATTACTATTAAAATATTAAATCAGAAAGTCATAATGACTTATGAACTTTGCAATAGAGCCTAATGCATGTTTTTAAGTGATTATAACAATTGTTATAAGGTCTTATGGAAGCATTATATCGTGTTATAAATAAATGCATTAGTCATTATAGCGATGACCTTCATAGAAAGTGTTACTAAACTTATCAGTGGTTTGTGCTGTGGCTCAGGAGGTCTGAGTCTGTAGTAGTGTCTTTGGGCAGGACACTGAACCCCAAGTTGCTCCTGATGGCTGTTCCATAGTTATTTACATCAATTACAAAACCTTGTTACCATAGCCTGTAACTGAAATAATGTAGCTAACCTGACTACATATGATACAGCTCTACAGACATTACAGTTCCATTCCACAATTTCAAGTGTTTTCTGACTTTTACGCACCTGAACATTAAAGGATGAGTTGGTTGGCCCTCAGCGATGACTGCCAACTCAAGAAGCAGTGTCTATTAAGTAACTATGGTGTCTTACCTCAATTGTGATGTGTTACCACAACGCAATAATATAAAAAGAGAAATAAAACCATTAATTTGTCCTGCCTTCAGAAAGACAGCCACACTGCAGGGATGTGCATGTATTCTCCTTTACTGTATGATTAGGAATAAGAACAAGTTTAGAAAGTCATCCTGCACTGCAGCAGCTTATAAGACAGGCTGGAGTGGATAACAAACGTATCTTTCTCAACTAATACAGTGATGTAGTAATGTGATATAGGCTATATGTATGTATGTGTTACACGCCCCAGGCACAGGGCATGTGGACAGATGATAAAACCTGTAAAACAGGAGAAATGAATAACACAAAAACCTGCTGCCAGTGGGTTTGACAGTCTTGCCAGAATGGCAAGATTACCACAGCTAGGTCATCAAAACAGTCCCCAACCAGTAGTAGGAAAGCGTTCTGCTTCCCCCTACTGTCTGTAGTGGAGTACATATTCGTAATGCTAAAACATTGGAGGACTTCGGTGACTCAACATCAAAAGATCTTGTTAAATTAAACCAATAAAATTTTGTGTGCGTCACATATGGCCTATATGAAGTGGGATCAAGCATATCTTAAATGAGCTACAGAGGAACCTAGTAAGTGTCCACTGTTCTCCTATACTCTAATTACGCAGTAACGTTACACATATTCTTCCTCTGTATTTACACAGAAAAAACAAGACGTGGGGTAGATTATAAAAGGATTTTATTATATTGTTTGCATTAAACTGTGATTTATATCTTAAGGACTTATGAATTTTTAATTTCGTTGTTGTTCTTTTTGTCCACTTCTTGATGCTGGTGTCGACCTCAGGACAGGAACTACCACCGATGTCCACTCGGCTTTTGGCCATACTAGGAAAAAAAGTATATGGTTAAATGTAAATTCAGTACAGTCCACTAACATGCACCGAACATATCTCACAACAACCTTTAACAAACATTCGGCTCATAGTCATGGTTTGCTTTTTGCTAAACACCATCATTAGCTAGCCTACAGCCTGTGGCATTTTCAAACTGCTGAAATTAGCCTAGCGGCTAGCGGACTTTCCCTGTGCTCATAGCTTAATTCATTGTTATATTATATAATTATACTATTTCTTACTCACCGCTGGTTTGAATTGCTGCCTTTCCCGACACAACAACACAGTTGAATTTCAGTCTGCATTCACATTTTGTTGAAACAGCAGCCGATATTTCCTTCGCGATAGCAACAGGCTCGCACATTCAGGCAGTTCGGAGGCCGTTTTACTTTGAAATGTGGAAATGAAGTCATCAGCAGGCGTCGGCAGGCATTATCACGTGGTCTCCTGAAAACAGCCGAATGACACGAGCCAATTTTCTTTCCATCGGCGGAAAGTTTGTTTCAAAACTCTGTGTGTGAAGAACTGAGATTGACAAATACAGGCGGGACTCACAAATGCCTGTTTGAAAGTGACAAATACTTTTCAACAATTTGTAAATTAAAACTGGACTCACAAATGCCTGTTTGAAAGTTGTAAATGTTAGGAAGATATTCACAAATGTGGTTCATTTACTTGTAAACTATCAAATATATTCACAGATATTTTTATTATTTGTGGAATTTGTTTGTGTATTTGCAGATCTGTTTTCTATTTGCAAAATATTTTTGTGAGTTTAAAAATCTTCATTTTGTGTTTGTGCAAAGTGTTTTATATTTACAGATTACACATTTGCACATATAATTGAAAATCACATGCAACAAATCTAGAGCAGAAATTATTTAAATAATTTGCCATAACAAGTTCATTAGCAACTGTCAAACAATAGCTCTTTGGCTTGTATCCCTGTCATGCTCTTGTTGCATAATTTTTAAAAAGACTTTCTAATTTGTGTTTATACGCTGCCTTACAATCAACAATCTTGCCTTTAATCTTCATCTGCACTAACCTTTCCTCTCCAAACACCTTTTCTGATTAAGAAGTTGCTTTAACTCAACGGTTATTGTTCAGGAAGACCTTGACAGACTTATGTGATAGGGAATAATTACATCCTCGCAAAATTGTATGTACCCCAAAATAGCGAGCGCTGCATCTTCAATGTTATCAGTCACATCTATTACTACGTCCCAGTCCGTGCACTCCAGACTGTCCTGGAAGTCTACAGCTACATAACACATAGTTTTAGTAAGTTGCTCCTACATGGAAGAAGGGAGTGTCTCCTTTTCTACTCCACACACTCACACTACTTCACCAGTGGGAGTAGAGTCAGCAATAAAAGAATTAGTGATATAAGAGTCAGTGTGTTGAAATTTGTGACTGATGGAGGGAGGTTCCCACAGCTATCTGTGCCATCACCTGCAGAAACAACAAGCATTCAGTTGAGCAATGCCTGGAGGATTATAGTTTCAATCTAAGCAAGTCAGAGCATGTAATCTTCCACAAATGAACTGAGCTGAGCTGCAAAAGGTCCCATATGAGCAAAGAGGTGAGTTTATTGAAAAATGATGAAATGAATTGAATTAAACTAATAAAATAACATAGGAACAACAATTGAAATAAGGTTTAAACAACAGAATATATAATCTCATAATATTTCACAGCAATGTGCTGCATAAAGTTACAGTTGTAGGAAAAACAATTTTCTTGAAATCATTTTTGGGCCTTCAAGGTACAGAGGTGATATCACTATCAATGTCTGATGTGCAGGCAAATATGCTGACATTGTGATGTTCTCTAATTAATACATAATTTTATTTATTTATTATTAGTATTTTGTTATTATTTATTAGTAATTTATATATTATTATTTGACCCCCTAATTAGTATTATTGATACTATTTACTGGGATGGGATATTAGGTGGCCCAAACACTTTTCGAGATGTGATTTTCCATAAGGGAAGGTGTGTGCTCATTTCATGGTGGACACGCCCGTGCTTTTGTTGGAGTACTGTAGAGGTGTAATCACACAAGGAGACTCTCTGCAGGAACTGAGAAAAAGGAACTTGACGCTGCTGTCTTGCAAAACTCGTGTTAAAGGTGAATATAATTACTCTCCTACTTTTAGCAAGATTATAACTAGACCGTGTCTTAATTATTCTGTAGAAAATATATATATTTAATCTATATTCACAATGTATATAACGTACTAGAGCAGGTATTTTTGTTATTGAAAAGAAGAAAATGAGCTTGGTTTGTGCATATAAAGTTTATTTGCCTTTGTAGCAATAAAAGACTTGAAATTTTCCTTTGTCCCAATATGATTTGATCTAAAGAGGTCTTTTCTTCAAGTTATATTAAAGAAAAGTATTTAGTTACTGCTCAATACATGCTGATTGGTGAGCTATTACCAGATAAACTGTTCTAAGCTTTCAGTCTTGTTCCTCTTGCAGCCAAGATGCCAGAAACAGCAGAAGCTGTGTCAGCCACTCTCACCACCAACAGAAACTGCACTATAGAAATAACCAATGTCAGCAGTAGCTACTGCCTCATCAATCCCAAGTAAGTCTGTAAATGTATTTTACAGTTTATGACATTAAAAGTCATTCAATTAACATACAAGCAGAGAGGCCAAAACCCAACTGGATGGACAAACATGTAAAAGTATAATTAATTAATGACCTCATATAGTAACAAGCAAATATAATGTGATGAAAATTGCTATTTATAAAAACTGTTGGTAATGTAGGTCAAATTAATTTTAAAGAGCTTTTGTCTTTTGGATAAAATTAATTTCCAAGATGCAGTTCAACGCAGGTTTGGAAAGTCTATTAGTTACCTGCATCAACTTTGTTGAGATAAGTCGCTGCATAGTATCAAGGACTTTGTGTGTACTCAAGTTTGATTGGTTGCAGGGAGAAGTATTCATTTTCAAAATGCTTAATGTATCGCTTTGAAGTGCTTTGAGATTGCAATACCTGATTACAGCTCTAAATCAGCTAACTGAAAATATTAGCATGCAATGCTTTCAGAAGTACCCACAATGTTTTTTCTCTGTAATAGCCATAAATAAAGCACATATTTCTAGCATAAAAAGTCTGTTAATTCAATGTTGTTATACGGCACTTCATTACAAGTCAAGCCAGTGAAATGCCAGTGTAACATCTATTTAACATGAATAAATTATTAGATTAGACCCATGTCTTTTGGTATTTCTACCAAGCGTTTACATTTATCTAGCTGTGGCAGGACAGACCATATCTTGGATGGGTGGTTTTCATGTGTGACATCACTTTGCTGAGAACATCCACCTATCCATCATGCAGTGACACACACTGCCTCATTGCACATCGCATGCAGGTACACTCACTGTTGCTTAGAAGTCCACCGCAGTACTTGTACAGTCACACTTCATCCATCAGCATAAGGTATTTCAGGTACCCCGGAAAGTCCAACACTCAAAAAGTACACTGACAATCTCCACAAAACTTAGAAAACTCTGTTTTTTCATCAAAAGTCCGGGAAGTGTGACATGAAAGTTATCGATTGCTTGGTAGTGATGGTAAGGATGTGTCTCCTACTCTCCTGTATAGGGTATACATGGAAAGTGGCTTCTGTCACCACCCGCCCCAGCCTACAATTCGCCCCACCAAGATCGAAGTGTGCTCTTTCATCAAGAATGACAACACTGCCACAGGCGCTGTGGGCATACTAACCTATGACCTGTTCCATATGCAGAGCCGGGTTTGCTCTGAGCGCATGGCCATTATGTTCTCTGTGCCCTTTGACCACAACCTGTACAAGAACCGGCTGGCCGTGGGTGTGGTTGAGCAGTCCTGCCTGTGACAAAAATCTGTACAAGCAGATGTATGATGGGAAAGACCTCAATAAATTCACCCGCTCTGAGACAAACGGCTGTGGGCTGGAATATAAAGCTACATATGTTGATTTGAGGGCTACAATGTCTTCCATTGGCAAAGCTATTGTAAAACTGGAGCTCTATGATAAAATGGGTCATTAGTGTAGTGTAGTCTAGTTTTTTTACTTTGTTGATTTGTACCCAACAGAATAAATAAACTTCATTTGATTTGACTACTGTTGCATGTTGTCACCCAGAGAAAAATCCAGTGGAGAGGAAGACTGATTTTGCTGTCATCTGTATTTTGCGTCCACTGAAAGATATCAATATCTGACAGCCAGCTCATTGATTCTCCATTAGCTTATTCCTTGAGCTCATGTATATTGTACACTCCCCTTTTCTTTGATTATGGTAATAAAACATTCAGACCCAATGCTTGTGTTACTTTGGATATGTTTTCACTCAGTATGCTCTCATTATTACTGATGAACAGTAATCATTTTTTAATCTCTTAGCTGGATACATCCAATTCTAATGAGTAGCAACAGATGGAATATCTGCATAGATGTTTTTTTAATCGGCACGATAACAATATTGTTCTTCACTGGCTGTGAGACTCTCCATCGTGCTCTGAAGTGTGTGGTTTTTGGAATGCAAGAGATAAAACAAAAGAAAAGATAAGAGTAAAGTAGCTCCTGAGATATCTGTCTTAACTTATTCAGGTTGCTTTTTTCTCCACAGGATACCACAGGAATGAGATTCTCAAAGCACCTCAGTCAGACAAACAGTCAGTAGGAGAAAATGAATGTGCTGAGTGAATGATCCGGCTTACCTAACAAATTAGGGTGTGGCAGTTTAATCCACAGGGAAAACACAGGGATGTTTGTGTGAGTGATAAATGTGTGTTGAAAGAGGGTGTGTACTGTCCAACTGCCATTGTGTTGCAAGTAGGAGGGTTTCTAGGTGATGGCATGCCTCCATGTTTTTCTTTTTTTTAAACTACCAACACCTCCCTTTCAGGTAACTTTTCTCATTTTGGGACTTGAGTGCACCAACAGAGGTTCTTAGCAGGTAAGTGACTTAGAACATTTGGGGGGAAAAAAACTTTGACAAGAGGCAGGACAGAAAAAGGCTCATTTGCTCATGACTCTAAGAAAAAAGCAATTTGTAGAGGCATACAGAAGCCTGATGGGGCATTTGTTTGATTTGTATCTTATATCGGTTGATAAAAGGCGTAATCATTTTCTCTAGTGTTTTCACTGCAACTTCATTACTGCATGCTACTTAGTGCTGTAATTTAAGAGGTACACTCTCTAATGAGGCAACGAGAATCTGCAGTTATTCTCTGATTGTTTACAACTGTTTTGAAATCTCATTAGCCTCTTAAATGGATCATTCGTGCCCAGCACTGTTGAAGGTCACTATAATACTAATACAGCATGGCATCAGAGGTCAGGAGGATATTTTATATTAGAGTGCTTGTCACAGCTGTGTAACATCTGAATTACCCTTGTTTTGCAAGCAGATCTCACAGCCATTCCAACACGATGGAGTCAGCTGAAGCCGTAGCAGCCGATGTGACCAGCAAAAGAAGTGTTACTATTGAAATCTCAAATGTCACTAGCAACTACTGCCTCATCAATCCGAGGTAAGTCATGTATTTTCAGGCTTATTTGAAACATATTATAAAGATTAAAAAATGTGTAAAGTATGCTTTTATTTGTGTACTGGTTAGGGTGTACCTTGACAATGGGGAGACATACAACCCACCTCAACCCACAGTGCGCCCTCTAAAGACAGAGGTCTGCACTTTCACCAAGTCCAGTGGCAAAGCAACCGGCAGCATTGGTGTACTGACCTACGACCTTTTTGAGAGGTCAAAGAATGACTACATTGAGACTCTGTCCATCATGTTCTCAGTTCCTTGGGACTACAACCTGTACAAAAACTGGTTTGCAGTGGGCATCTATAAAAAGGGCCAGAACTGTGATAAGGATTTGTTCAAGGAAATGTACTATGAGAAGAACCAGCATGAGCACGGGTTTGTCAGAGAGGAAGCCACTGGCTCAGGAATCAATTATGTGGGCAACTACCTAGATATCAAAGCTACCATGGGTCCCTTGGGCAAAGCCATCATGAAGGTAGAGGTATGGGATAAGCTTTTCACACCCATTGGCCAGCAGGCGTACTAGAGACCCCTCCTCACCAGTATTTCTGTCATGAGTCCCAGTATCAAAATTCATCCCTTCATCTCAAGCTTTTAGCTGACAGACTCTTGCCAATACAGTCAACACGCATGATTTAACAGATGTATTGTTGCTGACATGTGTCTGTATACCTGGGTATTACCCTTCGGTAAATCTGCTTAAGATCAGAGTTTAGTTTGTTTATAAATCCAGGCAGCTATAACCCCCCCTTTATAGTCGAAGCCCCTGTCTGTTTCAATAGCAATCGGTTTTAAAATGGACTCTTTAGAAATGAAAATCAAAGGATGACTCACCAAAGAACCAGGGCACATAGCTTAATAAAACAAACTGAGAGCTTCTCTATATTTACCTTGACACTGTAGTCTGAGGAATAAAGAAAGCCTTTTGCAGAACCATTTGTGTATGTCTGTTGATTGAGTTGAGAAAAGCGCAAAAGTGCATTAAAAGAAAGAATTACATTTTTTAATCTAAAATGATGTTGTTTGTGCATGCATACTATGCAAAATATTCTATGTGTGTTTGCAATGGATTCAGAGGGATCACTTTGAAGTGAAATTTAGATTTGAACAGAATCAAAGACTGCGTAATTTCTTTCTATAGGGGTTGTATGAGTTCAGCAGGGACACACCCTTTCTCGTGTTGCCCAGCATCAAAGCACATCCATCACTGTATTAACAGTACACCAAAGGTTCTAACATTTTATAGAGGTTAGTTTAACATGAATCACATTAAAAAAAGTTAATCAAATAGTTAGCACTTTGTTCAAAATAAATATTATTGTGATTTTTCAGAACATAAAATTGTTGCATCTTTTCTGCTTTTCTGTGAAGATTTTCCATTGTTGTTTTTTAGTAACCTCTAGCTAAATTACAAGACACCAGAGACTGAAAAGACTGATCTGCAGTAAATATATTCTAAGTAATATCTACACAAATTCCTAGATGAAAACAAATAGTCAATTCTTGGCTAAATAAAACCTTGTGTTATTAAAATCTCAGATTATTTAGATAAACAGGGTTTAAATTGGGTTCAGTTATGCGGTTATTGTTCAAAACTCATTCACTGGTTCATTTTTCTGAACCAGTAAACTCAAGGAGAAAATGAATAGATACATTTGCTGTTTTTGTGATAATGATCTTGGCAGACTTTGAGGTAGTGGTGAATGACACAGGAATGGGTTTAGGTAAAGACCCTAGTATGACTGCTCAGAAACTCATTACACTTACTAAAAGCTTTATAATTCTTTAATTGGGTAGAAATGACAATCTTAATTTGTTGTATCTCCATCAAATAACTTGTTTTGCAGTAATGCCACAGCCAATTTTGTGTAGGATACAGTCATTAACTTTAGGACAATATGAGTCTACAGGCAGGAGGCAGTATATCAGCTCTTAATTTACATCGCAGGCAAAGTTACCAGGGTCCCCTGATTCTATTCAAAATCTCAATACTGCATTCTTGATAATGTTTTCCCTTTAGATTTATGATGTTTTTGCTGCATTAACTGTTCCAGCCACAAAGATCAAAGGTTTTTGCTCACTGTCAGAGTTGCATTTTCATAAAAGCCATACATAATACAGTGGCGTTAACTAGGCCTGTTTAGGCTCAATCCCTGAGGCATTGTTGGGTAGTGTATTGCAGAAATGTTCCTGTAAACAGATGGAGACAAAAGAGAAACTTTTGTTTGTCACAGCAAGTTCCAATACATTCCTTTCATATTTTGCCTTTCAGTCTCTCCTCTCTGTTTACTATACCTGCACATAAGCCTTCTTTCATGTTTTGTATTGTATTGTTTACAGTGTGCATTTGTGAGTGAGTGCTTTTGTGTTTGTGTTTGCATTTGTACGTACAGTAAATGTGTTTGCATGCTTTCGTGATGAGCATCTCTGAGTATTGGTACAAAATGCACCTGGGCATGCAGAGATACATTCTTTTGTGCATTATGTAATTTCTATTTAGCAAGTCAAAATCTTTCAAGAACAGAGTAGGATTAGACTTCTTAAACAGGAAACAAAAGATATGTGAAAAATGTATTTCCAGGATGCTCCGCATTTGTGGATTGAAACTGATGCTATTTACCACCAAGCAGGAGTGAATCTGTATCTGGGAGTGAATGTTTGTCATGGTAAAAGCTTCTAATCCTTCCAGGATGTTAAGATGAAAGAGAGGTGGATGAGTTCAGGTGCACCACCGAAGTCAACACCTTGGCATGTCTTTTCATCCAATAAAAATCAGCTGATCACACTAAACAACATTAAGGCTCCAGTTAAACCTAGTGCATGGAGATGAGCGAGAAAATGAGAAAGAAATTGAAATCCTGGAAAACATGATTTTACCAAGAAATTCTTACAGCCTGTTACAGTCTTTTAAAAATATTTCTTGGTATTTTCTGTATTTTGACAACACATGGGTTAACTTTTAATTAATTTACTTTGTTGAAATGTTTTTGTGCTATCAATAGAAAAAGGTTGAAATATAAAGTTACACAGCAGCATGCATCTCCTCTCCCTGTTATCATCACCACCTATTATAAGAACGTGCAGTGGTCTCTTCAGAGCATGAAGAAAATGATTTAGTCAGATATGAGTCAAATCATAACATATGTCTCCATTAAATATTCCATTAAATATTCAGCCTCCATGTTTGTCTGAATTTCAATCATTCTATTCGCTTTGACACTAAGCCTACAGTACACGAGAACTGTACTGTATATTGTCCAAAAAGAAGCATAAAATGACTATATTTCAATGACCTGAGGTTTGAAAGTGAACCACCGACTTTTAACAGCCTAAACCACTGCATTCCCATGACCAACGATCCAATGAGCAATAAATTACACATTGTTCTCTCTCAAAGGGAGTAGAAAAATACTACACATTTTGAGTGCCTTCAACTACTAAATATGCTCTCAAAGACTGCCATCTAGAGGCCATCGCTGATATCAAGTGCACTCACACAATTTACAGTTTATATACTCAAAGCACTCCTGGCAAGTCTTGAAAAAGGAATTTATTTCCATGCTATTTTTAGAACTCTGTTCAAAATATTTTCTAGATTCTACTTGACAGTAAAATATAACGTATACATTCAGAAGGGTCAAGAATCTGGAAAGGACTGGTTTTTAGGAGAAAAGCTGTCTTTGTGTCCTTAAACCACATAGCCATGAGCAGACAGTGGTATCACTGTGGCTCACCACTGTCTTCTCCTGCTATTCTTGGCTCCAAACAGTTCTTGACATCCAGCAGGGTCTGGTACTCACTCTGTGTCTGCCCTGATGTGTGTCAGGTTTGCAACAGGAGCCTGCAGCCCTATCATCTGAGCTCAATTACAGACCTCGGTCTCAGTCAGGTTGCCCCACAAAGAGTCTACATAGATAAAACAATAAAGTCAGATATTTTTAAGATAAGCTGTAGTTGCATTGTTCTGAATGTTTGTTTTGTTTTTCAAAATTTCACTTGGTCAAATTTTGCTGACTGTTAATTAATAATAATAATTTCTTTGGATGAGATGTGAGGGTCAAATGTCATGTTATTCCTAGCAGGCTTTGGAAACTGTCTAATCATGTTAGTTTGTTATTTTGGATCTTCTCATCGTGCAGAATGACACATACGTGTATCATGTAACAATAGAGATAACTTAATGACAGGTACTCAAATTTTTTCTGTTAAATTACGTAAACTAAATTAGCAGCAATAATTTTTTTTTCTTTTGAAGATGTAAGATCCAAACACCCACACAATGTTACTACTCAAAGCATCTATAATGAATATTTTTATGTTAATAACGGATCGCAACACGCTTCCAGTGATGATCCCACAGAGAATCATCTGACTCTGCCTGGCACCAAACAGCGGGACAGACAAAGTTAACAACTAGATGGTGAATATAGAGGAGAATTTATCAGCTTCAGAGTCAGTGTTAGTGGAAACCAAACACAAAACTAAAACAGGGTGTTGGTTTTACATTCATCCACAGATTGTTTCCACTGCACCAAAGTGACGAAATGCACATTTAAATTATCCATGAGTGAATTACTTGCTAGAGACTAGCAAGTAATAGGATCAAGTCTTCAGTGACAATGTGAGGTGATCTCCCTTTAGCACCTACGTTATTGCACATGCTTATTTACTCATCTTTTGTTTCACCCTTTTTGCCTTAATGAACTAACAGACCCAGCAGCTCCTGCTTTATTTGTCTTTTGCCAACTATTATATCGTTTAATATTAGAGCCCGACCAATTTATCGGCCGTCCGATATTATCGATATGAGCTAATTGCATTTAATCGGTATCTGCAGTTTATAACAGCAGATATATGACAATTAAAAAAAGAAACAGAGAGTCAGATCCTTCACTCATATCATGAGTGTTGCATAGTTTGCGCACCAGTTGTTGCAGCTCCACTATTAACAACACTGCCTCAACACAAAAACCACAGAAGAAAACAATCAGCTGACCAGAGTCTACCGCCTGTCTGCAGTTGCAGTCGGCATGTCTGAAATTATTAAATCAGAGCGGACATGTCAATAAACTGAGCTGAACAAGAATCTACTCCCTGAGCTGCATCCACTTCCTTTGCATGTGACGACTCAGCCAGCAATGCATGTCAATGTATTGTTTTAATTTCCTGATTCTGGTGATCCCATCTCCCTCCGGTAGCGGTGTGGTAGCAGGTCTATTTTTATTTTTTTTTTCAGGGATAAATCTCTCAGGATCTTACTGCACTGTCAACCAACAATATTGACCTTCACAGGTTGGTGCAGGCCCTGCTCCTTTTCCATCATCATCAAAGAAATGAGGAAAAAAAGAGGAAAATTCCTTCCTCTTGTCACTCAGATTTTCAGCTGGCAGAGCAACACAGTTGGTCATGCAATGTATTTCTTTCACTTTATTCTGGCTGATCGAGCTGCAGTTTTGATGTCAAACCTACTTGAATATACAGTTATCTGCTGCCAGTTTGGTGTCATCCAGCTGACGGGTCAGCTCTGACAAAGCAGTGCCAGCTGCCTGGATCTCACACAACAAAGTAATTACTCTTGTCACACTGAATGACTCGCATCAATGCTTGCAATCTTTTAATTTCCATCAAGTCTGGCAAAACTCCAGCAAGTGCAACAATAACTAGTCGGTGAGAAAACATGTAATTCAAACAGATTTTTATGAATGAAGACATCTATAAATCCCATGAGATATCAATATCTCATCATTACCTTGGCATAGACTCCAGGAAGCTGACCCTCTCTGGCCAGCTGTAGAGATTAACCAGCAGTTATTGATGCTGCTGTATGCTCCTTCACATGAAGCAGTGAAGTTGACACTGTCAGCCACCTCTATTATTTCCAGAGGCAAAGTCCCCAGCTATACTACTAAGGCTGCCAAAGGAACCAGCAGTTGATGTACAGATGCCCTTACCCGCTGTCCTTCCAACCACTCTGCCAGATCTCTGGGACATAACAGGCATCGGCTCCCAGAGACCCTGACAGAGCTCCAGAGCCAAGAACCACCACCCTGCAACTGGAGACACAGCTGTAGCATCATGAGTGTGATCACTACTGCAGAGTGAGGAAGGTCTCTGGTGTCTTCTGAAAACACTGTCTCAATTCTAGAAAAAAATATATATGTGTATTCATGTGTGTGTCATACATCTTCTTATTTCTAAGCTAAAATAAAGCCTCTATGTGTAGGATTAGAAATGGGCTAATTTTGGTGGAGCACTGTGGCAGGCAGCAATGAAACAATTAAAGCAATAAAACTATTTCCAATTATATTTTATTTTAAATTGGAAATAGATTTATTTTGTGGAAACACCACAAAATAAAACTGAAAAACTGCTTAGCCTTAGTTCTAATTTTACTTTTATTTTCATTATCACTAAGTTATAATACAATATATGTATAAATGGTGCTTTTGCAACCTTTGTACAATAGGCCGAAATTTATTTTTATATTGTTTTATGTTCTGTCAATTATAAACACATATTTTTTTTGGCTTAGTTTAAATATGTTTAACAGTAAATACCTTCCCCAATCACACATACTGTACCTAATATTTTAATCTTCTCAGTGAGTTTAATCCAAGTATTCCTGGTTCATTGTGCCTTTATTTTCCTAATATGTCAATCAAAACTTTCTCTGTCAGTTATAATATTACAAAATATATCTGGAGGAAGACAGACATGCTCCCTGGCCCATTTCAGCCCCACAACATCAAGTCAACCCACTTCAGTGTCAGCACAGATCATTGAAACCGAGGCCCATGGGATTGTGTTCACATCAGCTGATTTATATACAAGTTGAAGCATCTCAACATGTTACATAATCATGCTGTGGCATAGCTGAGGGGCTGGAGAATAACCTCTTGGCCTCATATACTGCTTTAAAGGATTTTTGGTGATCTATGTATCAAAGGCTGAGCGCACCAATTTTGAATTGTAAGCATTTACAGTACCTGACATTATTGTGTTGTTAGTTACATAAAAATATGACAATGTTTTTATATATTTAGAAATATTACTCTACATGACATAAGAAAATTTTCCATGTTAAAAAAAACATTCTGTAAGGTGGGTTTTTTTGCGTTTTGGCGCAACTGCCATTTCAGAGTGTCTCTTCATTCACTGCCGTTGTAAATAAGCAGAGCTGTACACATGCATTTGTTATGATTACATTCCTTATGATCAAAAACTAGCAAGTCGATAACGTTGCTAACACAGCCAAACACCAAGCAAGTGTAACAACACAAGACACAGCAATATTACTTAATAGTCCAACAGCAAGCTTGTGCAAAGTTCTCACCAACATCCCGGAGCCTCTTGCTTGGTCACTCTGTTCTGTGATGGAACCCACCTCTCACTCAAAGAGAACACGCATTTAATTGTGCATATCTTTAAGCCTTAATATAATTTAAATGGGTGAGTTGTATAAACATTCTAAATTCATTATAATGAGAATTGCTTGCATGGCACATACCCCAAAAAAAGTTTCTAGCTTTACTTTCGGGGTATGAGGTCCACTAAATATGCACTGTAGATTTTCTTCCACTGGCCCCGACTGGGACCCATAGACATTATGATGATGTCACAGATTTTTTAATTGCTTTTCTTAGTTCGAGGAAAGTTTTACAAACATAAAACCTCCATGGATCAACAATTCTTAATAGAAAGAGTCATAATTTACCTTATTTGCAGTCTGAGGTGTCCTCTCAACGGTTTTACAGTCTTTTTTTAATGGTGGTCTATGAGGAAAAAGGGTTTGGGGCCACAGGGCTGAGTGGCAGCGCCATATCCAGGTCTTATTATACATCCATGGTTACCATGGTATGGTAACTGCATAACACTCTAACTCTAACCCTAGAACTGGGGAACATGGGACTCTGGGAACATAGCACCCTTTGTCAGTTCCCATTATGTGCCATATAAGTCTGGGGAACATAGGATCCTGGAAACAATGACCCCTCCATGGGGAGTAAAAGTCCATACATCAGCTTAGAAATCATAAAAAAACGCCCTTTTTACTTCACAACTTGCCTGAGAATCATTTTTAGGGTTTTTTAAGTGTTTAAGTAATATATTGATAGTTGTCTCACATCCATGGGTACATTGCAAACAGGAATTGCTAATAGAAATAAACAGCACACTTTTAACAGTGGTAGTTTGAAAAAAAAAAGTAAACAAATATAGACTAAAATGGGGCCTGAAGTTGTAGCCTCACGACATACTTGTTAGGTATTATAGAACATAGGGTAGTTAGGTAAATTAGCTCTCAACTTTGTTCACTAGTTGCTGAATGCAAGGCATCTTTTTATATCTATAGACTACACTGTTTGCCTGTATACAAAGATAAGCAGCAATGGGTCAGCCAGGAGTTACTATGATCCTACTGTAGCTCAAGAAAAAATTAATTTTGAGTTAACCTCTTTTAACATTTACTGTGTTGCTACTGAGTCATAACGCAGTTTGTCACTGCATCACCCACTAGAGGGCAAGGTTTCCTGTCTGAAAATAAACTCATGTCCTGTATATTGACCTTGGGTATATGACTGATCGCACGCACATATTGTTTAGTGAAACAATTCATGTAATGTGACTTATAAAATCCAATTATTGTTTTCACAATCGCGTCTTGTATAATGCAATTAAAAATGGTTTCTGGCTTGCTGTAGCAATAAGGATTAATGCAGAATTGGATGAGATCAGAATGGGGTGGGGATGAGGATGACCTGACATCTAGAGAGGAAGAAGGTCACCAAACACACTTTCCCACCCAGCCCTGCAAGACAGACACACACACACATACACGAAAACACAGACCCACCCTGCAGAGTTGTGTTTGCCAGATGAGGGCGTGATACATGGCTGCTGTCACTGCTTCGTTCACTGCTTCCTACATCAGCATAGCAACTACACCACAATATACTGTGCTGCTAACTGATGATATGATGAAATACTACCTGAGGCACAAAGCACTGTCATTTGCACTGCACTCAAGGGAAAGGAGTGTTTAATCAAATACTGACGAAAGTTAAAGGCTGTTTTGCCAGAATGATGCAGCAATTCTCTTTATGTATCCTTGTGAACATGAACAAATTTTGATGGTTTTCATTTATCTACAGGAGTAAAAATAAGCAACGGCTAAGAATCCAACTGTAGATTTAATTGTATAAAATATAAAACAGTATATCAAAATACATACAGTACATGGTGTGAGAGCAGGCAGAATGTGTTCTCTCAGACGGTACAGTAAGTCCATTAAGTCCTGACAATGGCAGAAATATAACACAGTATATAAATAAACATTTTGTTCCAAATCTAAAAGCACTTACAATGGCTTTATCGTCATTCAAGGCTAAGCAATACATAACGACATTATCATGATTCAAGCAAAAGATAACCTAACCTTTATCTTCCTGTCATTGCTCAGTGTTTATCACTATGCTGCACAGACAATTTCAATGTCTTTTCGTCATCACTTCAATTAGCTCATATGATCATGAAGATTTTCACTATTTGGACAGAGGACAGTACTAAAGGATTTCTTACTGTTCTGAGCATACCCACTCATCTGCAACCTCTGTCCCCAAACCTTACATACACTATGACTCACATAACCAGATCCATGCATCAGATTATACTAATTTTTTTATCCCTCCCTTTGCACATACAGAGGACCCTTTTCATAGATCTAACATGGACACATACCTGCAGACTTAAAAGCAGTTTAGGTCACACATGTCCTCTGCATACATTGTCCAATTGTCCAATTAGTGGCTCAAAGCAGAGTTAAGTTTGCTCAGTAGCAATAAAAAATACTTTTTCTTTGTTTTTCTTATCAACACAACTGTTGTCCAACATAATGAGGACTGTCAACACAAATATAGTTTCTCTAGGTTCTCAAATAAAAATCAAGCTCTGTTTTCTGAATAGTGTGTGCAAATTGGATGTGACCAATATATAAATCAGGTGGTTGAAAACAAAACTTCTGTCACAGTCTGGTACTGTTATAGAACAGCTGCAATAATTGGGATGTCACTGATTATGACATTCACTCTAAATCAGTGTCATTTTCTCGTTTCCTCTGTGGCTGATATCTCAGAAAAGTTGTAAAGCGCAAGTACACTTGTCAGAAAGATTAAGTCCTCTGTAAGGTCACTGATGAGTTGAAAGCACATCAGCAGCGTATGTGTAAACAAGCTATAGTCCTCAGGTTGGGATAGGGAGAGCATTGGTCAGAAACCAAACACGATTTTGTCTTCTTGGTGACTGTGAGCATCGCAGGAAATTAGGATTTTCAGGAGCTACCATCCCCATTCTTGGTCTTGAGCACCACTAGGCTAACCATGACAGGGATCAGGCAGATGGGAGTTATCACTAGCGCAAAGACGATGACTGGTTGTGGGTCGCTTAGCTCCTCTGTGGGACAAGCATTGAAATACCGGGTGTGAATGTTCACGAAGGTCTGTTCCACCAGAGGGTTGGGCCATGGGATCAAGAGACAGTCAGATATCTCCTCTGTGCAAAGGCTTAGGTTACTATACAATCTGCAGTGTAGAGAGAAGGAGTGTGTGGAAGATTAGTCCAACACTGGTAAACATTTAACAATACTTTTAAGTAAAATATGATTAAGTGCAAATATAAATACAAACTACTTACCCACTGACATTGCCCCAAAGGCACCAGCCAGTGCTGTTTAGTGAGCTCATTGCACTTTCAAAATTGTAGAGACATAGATAGTCAAACAGTTTGGAAAGGCAATCCATTGTTGGTGCACCTTGATAATAATTACATATTTCGCAAAAATTCTCACAACGGTGAGAATTATTCCCACAAGCTGCATGAATTAAAAGAAAGTTAGAAAAATAATGAGATTAGAAAATGATGATAAAGATATATTGGACATCTTCAAAAGATCTCCATTAAATTGTTCACAGAAGTTCACAGAATCATATGTGGTTGTATGGCTATCTAAGGTTATAAAGTAAAGTTACCTACCAAATGACAAAGGATGATCTAGAAAAGTAGCATCTAAAACGGAGAAAAATAAGATTTTTAGATTAAAAACCTTTACATAGTAGTAGACCATCTAATTCAGTTCATTTAAGAAGTTCATCAAAGACATGCATCGAAGCAAAAAAATAGTATTTTTTGTCTATTGTAGCTCATGAGCTCCTTCACATTCTGAGGCAAACATTTGCAGCTGTAGAACGGAGACCACACACTCACCGGAGAAAAAGGAGAGGAATACCCCAATGAAACCAAGTGCTCCCTTCATGTCAGAAAAAATGAATAAAGGTGCGTTTTTCCCAACTGATAACCATGTATAATAAACCTGAACTTCTTAGATTGTGTACAGCGAGGCATAACAGGAAACCCGACAGGATGGAAGAGACGCAGTGTAACCTTCGGTTACCAGATGTCCAAACAGTGTTACCCGCGGTTACCAGATGTTCTTCGAAGAGCTGTCTGACGGCCCTGTGCCTTGGCACTCTCTCCAACACACGTTTCTTTAGGATTTTCTTCCTCTTTTAAAGGGGTGGAGGCAACAAAGATTGTCCTCTCCATTCTCCCAAATAAAAGGGAGCACACCCAAGCTGGGCTGGACTCACATCTGAAAACCCTTTACTCTTTAACTCTTGTTCTGCTTTTTAGTCTCAGTTTCTCACAGTGGAAGGCCTGGCCAGCTCACAGCATGTGATTTATTTGCCTTTTGGGCTGCCTCTGCCAAATAGGAAACATAAGTAAACATTTAGGGCTTAGAGTTTTGGGGTGGATGTAATCATGACTCTGCAGGGTGTGCTGTGCAGACAGACATGGTTTCATATTTAGGTTAATTTGACCAAACCTTGAAGAACTTATTAGTCAGAGTTGACCAGCTGTTTTAAAGGCCAACTATCTTTGCACACACATACAATTGAAGAAAACAAACTGACATTCTTTACCACAAGTGTGGGAACCTTTGTTTTTCATGTCTTGAGGAGCTCATGAGTGTGCTACATCTGTTTAGTTGTTTCTCTCTGTCACCATTCACCACTTAAAAGAGCAGTGTGAATGAGGTGGTTTCATTGATTAAATGAAAAACAAAATGTATGGTTCATGTTTTCTCATGACCAACTTGTTAATTTATGTCACTGAATCCACATGTTGGGCCTCTCATAACATCTGTTTGCCGAGCAGCATTTTGATTTAGTAATGACATCAGGAAATGTGCCTTTTCAGCAAAGGAGGAGCTCAGAGTTGGGGGGAGTTGGCAGGAAAAGGAGGGGGGACAGTCAGGGGAAAGAGAAAAAAAACGAAGGCACAGGATGAGGAACAGTGAAAGGGGCTCTGCTCCAAAGTTCTAGTTGTTTCACAACTTGGAGTTCATGCGTTGATCACAGACGTTGCATGGGGTGAATGACGAACAAATTCAGGCAGTTGAGCCAGGTGGGGGCTGCTCATAATGAGGTTTAAGTTAACCTTTAACCCCAAACCATTATGGGCCTCGTGTCTACTGCTGTTGACCCCTCACTTGTAGAGACCTCCCCGGGAGTTTGTCTTGGTTTCTCATGATAATACACACAAGGAGATCTTGGCAGAAACCAGGATCTCTGAGTTCTGCTTTCTGTGTTTGTCAGTTCCAGGCCAGGCAAATGAGTTTAAGGAACTGATCCAAAACAATACCCCAGTCCCCCGTCTCCCCCAGCGACAGACATGTAAGTGAGTCTATAATGTTATTTTTCATTCTTATTTTACTTATCTGTATTTTTTTTTACGTTTATTTCACACTTGCTTTGGCAATGTAAATTTCTGTTTGTCATGCCAATAAACACAAATTGAAGTGGATTGTCGAACAGAAAAGGGTTGTAAACTTACTGGCATTTGTGGTCCCTGTTGAGTGATAACCTGTAGAGAAAGGAGGTCAGGTTAGTCAAAGTATTTGTGGTCATGCATGAGATATAGCTATTTCCTTTTATTCTTTCAAATAAAAATACCTGTTGTTGTGGTAGGTTCCACCAGTGACTTTTCATTAACCAGACAAACCACTGTTGTGCATCCTGCTATAAGAGAAAGAGGAATTATTAGACTGAATTATGATAGGTAATCCTGTATGCACATTTCAGAACTTGTAAACTATTGGAAGTAAAAAGTTCAAAGCATCCTCTCTTTGTCTGCCACTGCTTAGAGGAAATAATAATATATTCAGTTTAAGAACATTTAAACTATATTTCCCTCCCACAAAAATAAATTAATAAATTATTCAGTAAATAGGAGAGAATAATAACTAGTTAGCATGAACACACAATTCTTCAAAAAACAAACTCATATGATGTCTCAGTTTGATGAAAATCAATCAATGACTCTTAAACCCAACTGTTTAATGGTAAAACTTAATCATGAGACTCGCTAAGCTCCTTTATGAAAGCCACTCAATCACTGAAAGTCCCTAAGCATTCCTCTTGAGAGGTGAGATTGAGGACAAGTAAAGAAGTTATATCATAAGAGTGAAGAAATGGACAGAATAAATCCTCTACTTACCCCAGATGAGAAGAGTCACAAAACACACAGAAAACATAAATGAGAAACTAGTGGCTGTCATTTTGTCTGCCAATGCTCTGTCCGTCTTCCCTGGTGGGTGCGGATTACATATCTCAACCTTTTTGCAGGAAGGCTCTATAAAATAACAGGAAGCACTCATTTCCTATGATGGGCGGATTCACACAACAGGACGGTGAGCCTCTGATAAGGGTAGAACGTCTGTGGTCCACTGGTGCACTACCATCACACTCTCTCTCTATCTATCTATTTCTTTCTCTCATCCCGCCCTGTTTTTAAACAGAAAGAGAGAAGTTGGGGAGAGCCTACCCTCTGTTTTTCCATCTCCCTTTCTCTGTATCTACTAGCCTTTGACTTTACTTCACTTTTTTTTAGTACAAGCAACAATTAGAATGAACGAATTAATTAATTTTTATTATTGTGTCATGCACATAATTACAGAAGACACCAAAATAAATAAATAATATAGCCAGGTCCAGAGAACATCATATACAGTGTGACCCAAAAGTAGCAGTTGAAAGTAAAAACAAAATTGCACTCCTTTGTCATTGTTGGATCATGATGTTCAGTTTCTTCATTGTCAAAACTTGGTACCCACAATGCAACTTGACTGCACACAGTTCGGGCCCACTAGTTTAAGCAGAGTTGAGGAGCGGACTACAGAGGTCTTGTAAGCTCACTTCCTTCGAACTCCTCGTTCCTAGATTTTTAAACTTGTAGTCTTCAGCCCCAACCACCACTGATTCAAGTGACATCACTTCATGCAATTTATCTGATTTCATCATAGACTGTGTAAAACATGGACTTACAGTATGCCGCGTTCTAGACCGGTCGGAACAGGGAAATTTCCAAGTTGAAATATCCAATTTCCGACCTGAAAGCATTTCAGGTGAATGGTGGTGCATGACGCCAAATGTAAACAATATAAATGGCTGACCGTGACAAACCTATGTTTCTTTGGCAAGTTTATGCACAGTGCATTTGGTGTTAATAAAAAGGATGTCAGTCTATGAAGATTCTCAGTCATCCAGGTCATAGTTATCCAACAAAGGTTAAAGTCAAGGGCAACTGGACTTGGTTGAAGATACTGGAAGACGTTTCGTCCCTCATCCAAAGGACTTCTTCAGTTCTGACTGACTGGCAGGGAAACTCAGCTATTTACAGCTGAGTTTCCCTGCCAGTCAGTCAGATGGAGATTGGATGAGGGACGAAACATCTTCCAGTATCTTCAACCAAGTCCAGTTGCCCTTGACTTTAACCATCGTTGGATAAAAACGATGGTCATTTTATTAAAAACAAGTGATAAATATTCGTTACTCGTTAACTCTGTATCCTTCTAGCAACATCAGTTGATAATCCTCAAAAGTCAGCAAAAGTTGTAGGCTATTAGGGCTGACCCCAAATAGTCGAAGATTTAATGCTTCGATGGGCGGAGCCTGATTCGACTGTTAGTCTCACAGTCGAAGCTTCGCAGCGACACAAGGATCATGCCAATTTGGCGATATTGGGGTGCTCAATGTCTGATTTTACAAAGAACTACCAGTTTTCTCCCAATAAGTTAATATACAGCTTATTACAATATACATTTTAACGTTTAATGCTGTAAATAAACATGTAAAAAGAAAACAAAACTTCCAATAAATGTCTGCGCTTCGCGGGACTTTAGTATAATTTATCACCGTTCACGAAGCACACAAAGAATATTATATCGTTTTTAAACAGCCGCTACTTGAAATAGACCCGTGAGGAACCGCGACGCGCATGCAGTTGCGCAGCATGGCAAAAACTCTGCACAAGACCAGTGAATGGCAGGTGAGGGGGAGAGAGAGAGAGAGAGAGAGAGAGAGAAAATGGTCAACAATAAGCCTCATTTTAGCTTCGGCTCGCAATTGCCATGCACAAAGACACACGATTTGACTATCAGTCGACTATAGGCAGGATTTGACAATTCTGATTCCACTATGTAAATGTGTTTTTTAACATTTCCCAGAATAACTTTCAGATTGTTTCTGTAACCAGCTACCTAGTAACATTAACAAAATATTTCTAAATCAATTTCATTGCAGAAAAAGTTTTACTATTTGATACTAGTATTATTTTAATTTATACTTTACTTTGCCATTTAGTTTATGGTTTATTATTTACAATGTGTGCTTCCATGGGAGCTGCCATTGTTGTGTGACGTCATTCGGCAGTGCAAGGTTGTGATGTTGCAGCAATTGAGTGGTTCCAGTGCTGGTGCTTGACACCCCTGCCTCTGACATTCAGTAAAGTCAGGGTTTACTGGCATCACTTCCGTCATCCATTAAAAGAGTAATAGTCCACATGGGAACAAATTACACAATTCAATCTGATTTTAACCATCTTTTTAATTTCCTAAATCACGGTGGAAAGTCTGTTTTTATCACAGGTCCCATTCCCACAGTTGGGAACAGCAGTACTAGTTGTGTTACACCATCAGTGCTGATGACAAGCAACCTCTTCCCACCACCTCTGGATCTGACGTCACACTGAGCTTCTGTGGTTAAGAGAGGGAGCTCCAGTGGGAAATTGATGCACTCATCCACGTCACTGAAAAATGAGTACTCTTTCTCAGCTGCTAGTCTTGGGAAAGAGCCAGGCTTGGGGCCAAAATTGCTTCCACATTTTATTTCAGATAAAGGAGACCGCTCTTTTTTATGTAACTGACTAAATGTTTTTTTTAAAACACACATAGACGCTTAAATAGGCTACATTTGGATCAAACTTTCAGTATGAGTAAAGTTAAATTGCTGAATGGAGGAGCTAAAAACATTTCAAATGTTCTGTTGAGGTAAGGTAGAATGAAGTGAGAAGTCAAAGTTTACTTGCCGCACCTCTTTTCAATGAATAAAGGCTTCTCACACCAGTCATGACTTAAAGAGGTAACTATTTAATCAGATACTTTGTGAACCTTTGTCACAGATCATAAAAGGTACCCCATACTTGAAGACAATAGTCCCACAATGATAGGCGCCAGACCAACAAACAGTTTTCCTTTGTACAGAATTTAAAACTTCCTGCTGATAATAGCCCTATTCTCTAAGCCTATCTCCCTGTGTGTGTGTGTGTGTGTGTGTGTGTGTGTGTGTGTGTGTGTGTGTGTGTGTGTGTGTGTGTGTGTGTGTGTTTGCTTGTGTTAGACAGTTCAGTATCAACATGGCATGGGCTATTTTAAATACCACTGTAGACACTGCAAATATGCTGTATCATTAAAGATACAATGAATGCATAATAAGTAGGTTGGGCTGATAGACGATACCATAGTCCATTGGCGATGGCTGACAGACATCATGGTGTTGAGCAGGCATAGTGATTGTAACACCCCCCCCCCCCTTTCCCGGTGTTCCCCAGTGTTCTGTCGAGTTATGCTACCTATCGAGATGTGCTACTTAGCAGTTCTGTGCATGCGTATGACCCACAAGCTTGGTCTGTTTCCACGCCCATAAATCTGTGCACCCTTGTTGTTGGGCATGCCATCAAGACACTGGCTGATCATCAGATATACATATTTTAAAAAATCATTATTAGTCTATCAGAATACGCTAACCCTGATATCTTAAATAAAGATGGCATAATACAGTATTTCAACTAGTGATGTGCGGATCGATCCTAAAGTATCCATATTTCTGATACCAACGTTTCCTACTCCAGGATCGATACTCATATAAAAGGATCGATATCTAAACTCAGTCCTTTGGAATGAGTGTGTGTTTTATCATAAGTATCTTACTGTCACCAGGATGGTCTAATTATAGGCTACACGGTTGATAGGAACTACTTTTCCTTCCGCCTGTCAAAGTCATGCTTGCACTATGGCTCTGTGACAGAGCTTCTTTAAAGTGAGCCGCTGCAGCCCTCGCGATTTCTCGCGATTGAATACTGACTCTGTAAAAACAGTCACATCTGGCTGTATTTTAGCTGTGAAAGTAATAATGTGACATGTGAATAATGTGACTTGACAGTGAAATACTTTGGCCACACTCCAAACTTCGCTAAACATATGAGATTAAGTCAAAATAATAGGATGAAGTTTATGAAACAGCAGTTCTGAGCAGGATATTTTTATTATAATTAAAGAATATGTAGTTTGATGTCTTGTCATTATACAGCTATTATTTTGAATTGGTAAGGCTACAGCCTACTCCTTATTTCTCTCATAAATACAGAAACGGAAGAAGGGAGGTCACATTTTTCCGATACCATTAAATTTGAAATATCACATTAAACTTGCATTAAATATGTAAAAAGTATTGGTATTGGTATCGGAAAAACCAGCCTGGGTATTACTTGGTATTGGATCCTATAGGAATTAAGGGGTATTGCACATCACTAATGTGGTGCAGTGGTTAGTGCTGTTGTCTTACAGCCTGTGTACAGGGTCTCAGGGGGCTGGAGAATTTCAGCTTATGTTATAATATATTCAAAAAACAGAAGATGTCATAATACTGTGAGAGTTATAACTTTATGGAAATAGGAACACATAAGGTAGCATTTTTCGATAGGCAGAGTAAAGAGAGAAAGAGTCTGCTATCGATTTACACTACGGTAGCATTTTTTTTCCACAAGGCATCGTCAGAACACTGGCAAAAAATCTAAATTTTTCACATAATACCGCCATACAAAAGCAGGTTTTAATCACCACTCCAGGATTATTATTATTATTAATTAAAATATGCTTTGCACCTTTTCTTCGGAATTCTCTTGTACCCACATTCAGACACACAAGAGGCCTACACCTCAGTTATACACACCGGCTTGTTCAGCCTCTCTCTGTCTCCCTCCCCCGCCCGTCTACTCCACTTTCTCCATCAGTACATTTTATAAAGTCCCCTAAAAGACACAGAACTCGTCTTTTTTCCATTATCACGGCAGCAGATATCAAACTACCTAAACCAACATCTGCACAGTGTGTTTACTGCTGCTTTACCCGGTCTGAGCTTGTATAATATCCACCGCAACTTGTAACGTCATAGGCTACCACGTTGTTTAACCGAGTTAAGTCTGTGCGAGTGAACACGTGCACAAATGACGACCGCTACCCCCCCATGCATCGTCCATCCTAATGTTTCAATGTAGACATCGTCCGATGGAAATTTTGTAGACATCGCCCAACCCTAATAATCATTAACCAGGAATGCATGACATAAACACCAGAACCAGAGAGCAAAAGGGATAAACGGCAGCTCAGTGATCAGAGAGAAACTCAACGAGGCAGTCATGTTGGTGTAGCATGATATCAAACCAAACCATGTCAAGCCAGGTATGTACTTGTATAAGCCCGTTGTGTCATGGTATTACTAGCTTAACAGTGCCATCTTGTGTGCCAGAGAAGAAGCATTTCTGTGGTTTCCTTTTTATCCATTAAGAGTTTATTTTCAAGAAATAAAAACCTAAACTGTAAATATTAACAGAATAATAACAATTAAAATCTTTACAGCCTGTCAGATATTATGCTGGGTTACATTTTACAATATAGCCTACATTTATGAACTGAACTGATATTTGAATTTGCCCTCATATGTCCACAACTTCAAAACAATAATAAATCAGTAGGCTATGTAAAATGAGACATATTTCTTCTCTGAATGTCCTTGTCCAAAGGGACATCAAATGCAAAGACTAAAGATAACAAACACCCTTAGAATTTGTTTGTTTTTTTCTTTTTGATTTATAAAACTAAATATATGTTTTGCTAATATACTGAGTTTCAATGTCTGTGAAACAGACAAATTGTGTTAAAATATCTATTGTAAAGAGTGAAAACAGCAATGTTTGTCAAAGCAGCAATACCTCAAGTAATCATGGACATTTAATATTAATAGCCTATGCAATGTATGTTGCTTCCTTAACATTAAAACATAAGTAGTATATCCTGTTTTGTATTTTCACACTGTCAATTTAAACTTATGTAAATATAAAACTGCTCCAAATACCAAATGTAATGATGATCAACAAAAACAAAGGAATTTGCCCTACCATTCCAATACTTTTGGAGGGGACTGTATAATGTAAGGTATATAATGTAAGTATATAAAAGCAATAATACATGCTTT